TTACGTTTCCGTCTGTGTCCGCTAGGGGCGGGGCTAGTGCGGCCATCTTGGGGTCAGAGCGTTGGGCAGCTCAGTCTGCATCTAGCCGTGCTAGTGAGAGGTTCGTGCTGTGCTCCGTTCAGATACTGTGACAGTTTGAAATGTCTGCGTTAATTGAAAATCCCGCGAGCTGCGAGGTGCGCTCAGTAATAAGGTTTCTGACTGCAAAAAACTGTAAACCGATAGAAATCTATCGGCAGCTTCGTGAAGTGTATGGGGACAACATTATCACTGAAGGTGGAGTGCGTCAGTGGGTCATAAGATTTCAAAATGGCCGAACCAATGTTCACGACGAAGATCGAAGTGGGAGACCCCAGCATAGTGACCGCCGAACTTCTCGAAAAAGTCGATGCTAAAGTCCGTGAAAATCGAAATTTCACAATAACGGAACTTTCTTTGAGTTTTCCACAAATTTCGCGAAGTTTGTTGCACGAAATCATCAGCGAAAAGCTTGGTTACCACAAGTTTTGTGCAAGATGGATTCCAAAAATCTTGACAGAGGACCACAAAAATCAGCGAACGGCTGCAGCGTTGAACTTTTTGGACGCTTACCATAAGGATGGTGGACTCTTTACTCGATCGCATCGTTACTGGTGACGAAACATGGATGTGAAATGTGAAGTGTGAAACGAAATTGCAATCAATGCAGTGGGGGCACACAAGTTCTCCCCAAAAACCCAAGAAATGCATGCAAACAATGTCGGCAAGGAAGATGATGGCGACTGTTTTTTGGGACAGAAAAGGTGTAATTTTGGTGGACTTCCTGGAAAGCGGCAATACAATAAACTCTCAAAGGTATTGCCAAACTCTCCAAAAACTCAGAAGAGCAATTCAAAACAAGCGCAGAGGAATGTTGAGCTCTAAGATCTTGTTGATTCACGACAACGCCCGGCCCCACACGGCAAATGTCACTCGTAAAGTTCTTGAATCTTTTAAGTGGGAGTTGTTTCCTCACCCGCCGTACAGTCCCGACCTGGCACCGAGCGACTTCCACCTATTCCCAGCAATGAAGAAGTGGCTGGCTATGCAGCATTTTGATGACGACGCACAGCTGCAAGAAGAGGTAACGAAGTGGTTGAAGGCGCAGGCGGCCGAATTTTTCGACGAAGGAATTTCCAAGCTCGTACATCGCTACGATAAATGCCTTAATTTGTATGGTGACTATGTAGAAAAGTAGTATTTGAGTGTGGCTTTCATCTGTATATAATAAAATTTGTTTCCTATACTTTGTTTATTTTTTTATTCCAAAACGTAATCTACTTTCTGGATAGCCCTCGTATAAAATTGCATGCATTTTACAGAAATTAAACTTTAATGTCGTTTATTCTCCTATTAATAAATTCCCAAGTTCCATACTTAAGGACCCCATTCCGGATAGGAATTCCTGGGGTATTTACAGGATTCCTTGTCAGTGTGGTTTAATTAACTTGGTCAAACTAAGAGAGCCTTAAAATTTCACATGGACAGGGACATGAGATATGTGTCAGGAAAAAAAAAACGCAGAAGTCCTCTGTTGGCCAGCATTGTTGGTCCAAAAATCACACTTTCCATTTTTCTGCAGCCTGAATTATTCAAAAAACATCTTCCATTGGTGAATTAGATCTTCTAGAGGCATTCACATAAAAAAAATAACTTTCTGTTCTAGTTAACGACTCTTAATTCCAATCCATCTTTACCTTCAGCCTTGAAGGAAATTATGTGTTAGTTTTATTGTTTCATCAATAGATGTTGCCAGTAGCTTACCTCCTGTCCAGCTATTTTTATTTTGTCTCTTTCATTTGCACTTTGGCAGCTGAGGATGTTGGTTCAGTAAAACCATTGAAACTAGTCCTGTGAAAATTTGCAAATATAACTCTGATTTTTGTTGTTTGTCTTCTAAATTAACACCTTTCACTTTTTCTCTCAAGAGTAATGGTTTATGAAATTATCGATTATCAAGCCCCTGTTGATTCTCACCATCCTTTCATTTTATATTTAACATCAAATGTTTTGCAACCAATCATCGTTAACTCATAAGAAATTATATGCATAGTTAATTCATTATCTGTCTGTTAGTCCAATAGATGCATAAGAGTTTGAAATCCTTCCTATGTGATAGGCATTAATAGTCTCTGTAACACAGTACCCAATGTTCATAATGTAAAGCTGGCTTCAAATTGAATTCAATCAAACTGGATTGGATCTTAAAGGAACATAAAGATACCCTTCATTTAGGCAGTGCTAATAGCTCGTAACCTTTGTATGATTATGATATTAATATTTCTTTGTGATATTAACTAAATATTTAGCTAATATTTTAGTGATATTTGTGTGATTAACTAAATATTTAGCTGTTCAGAGGAAAAAATACTTTTCATAAACATGACGAGAGTTATTTGGAATTTGGATTTATTTGGTATGGCAATGAGAGATAACCCTCTGCATAATTTTTTTATTAAAATTGGTTCAAAAACTGTGTATTTTTAATTGCATATTTCAAATCTGAATATATTTTAGAGTTAAAATATATGAAATTTTCTTCTATAAGAGTTTTCTTTTTTCGATATAGAGTTAGACCATAAATAAATAAATTTTTTCGACAACCTTCAAATTGAGGAATAATCATATAAAAACAAAATTTTGGAAATTAATCTTGGTTAAATTATGGTTTATTTTATGAAATACAAAGGTAAAATTTATATACTAATGAAAATATGCAAAATACTTACAAAACATTTATTAGGAATGAAGTTTAGTATGATAAACCTCAAATGAAGGCTTGAGGCAACAAACAGTACACTGTCTACAAGGTTCTTGACGAGATTTGGGGGTATATATAACTAGCAAAATATTAAGCAGGTAGTGTCATGGGATTGAGAGTTGAATTACATGTGTCTTTTATCTTTGAAAAGAGCTCGCAAAATGGTTCAAACATGCTTGTGTATTTTGCAGAAATATGGACAATTAATGCCATCTGTTAACCCAGACTTGAATAAATAATTAAATATCACAGAAAAGCCGAAATGAAACCGCGAATAGGAAAGCAGCGGGTTGAACAGTTAAATAGATTAGAAAAATGCAGCTCTGTGGAAATTGCGGGTTGCATAAATTTTGCTCCTTCTAGGTTGACAATTTGAAATTATGGATAAAATTTAACTGCTGAAGATTATGTTTTAAAAATGTACCTGCTAAATAAAAATATGATTTTAACACAAATTTAGTTCTAAAAGATAGATGTAATTACAGCTAATTGAAATCAGTGCATAGTTTTATGTTCTTCTTCCAGCAAAATAAAGTCATTTTGATGCACATTGCATTTAATAAAAGTTATATAATAACAAAGCAATACATTGTGTGATGAATATTAAAGGAAGTAATAACATGTACGGTGTAAAATTTATCAAGTTACTGTGCAAAAAAACTATTTAATATGATTTATTTCAAAATGTTGCTCATCTTAGTTTCTTCTAAATTGCACTAGCATCAGGATAATATGATTTTAATAGTATGTAGGATAATTTTGAACTGAAAGCAAGAGGTAGTATAATTTCTCAGTTGTGCTATCTTATATAACATACCAAATTCATGTTAAACAAAGGTTTTCTGCAACCACATTTGTTTTACCGTTCTTAAAAATTGGTAAATGATTAACTCGGTTTATGCATATTTAAGTGTTGTTGCAATTAATTATTAGTTCAAAATTAATCATTTATGAAAAAAAATTGGATACATTTAACCATTATAATCACGAAACAGTTATGTGAGGTAAGTCTTGAAGGCTTTATCATTGTGTGGTTTTCTGTATTCAAGTAACCTAGACTCACCCATACCCGTGCCAGATTCTCTTTTAAGTTCTGCACCCATACAATCTATAAGCTCATGCATTTCATAGTGACCATCCTTTCTGTTTAATATTCACCTTCATTTTTCTTTTTGGACTCTTTTACTGGCTTCTTTTTAGTTATTTCTTCAAGAATGTCTTTGCCTGGTAAAATCAAATGGCCTTCATTGTTCTTGTCTTTTTCCACCTATACATTTAAATTTTCTTCACTTGAGCTTTCAAACCTTGAACAACAGCAAAAATTTTGATGAGGCCTAAAACTGTTACTTTAAAAACTGAGCTTACATTTTAATTCTGTTTCTTTACAATATCAAGATTTTCTCAAGCGATAAATTAGCATTAAATGCTTAACTTCATTCCATATTGTACTAGAGGATTTTTTAAAATTATTTATTATAATTTTCACTGTTTCATTGTTAGTAGTTTAATAACTTCAAGGTAAAACATTTTGCTTTTTATAATCCTTTGATGAATGAAGATATTTAAAGTATTCTCCTGCATAGTTTTATTTCATAATTCATTGTTTCTACATTTAAAATAATGAGGTTACTTGTCTTTTATAATAAAATAAGCGTTTTCTTCTAAATAATAAGACACTAAAAAAACTGGCTTGAAAAAGTTAGAGATTAGTGATTTTTAGATTCAGTTTGTCATCACCATTTCAATTAAGTGATGTTTGAAGAAGCAGGATTTGGTTAGCATAGTGACTTTTAGACAGTTTTCATCACCATTTCAATAAAGTGTTGTTGAATGAAGGAGGATTTAGTTATCATAGCATAGATTTGCATAGCAGTTTCTTTTTTTTTTTTTTTTTTTTTTTCTTGGGGATGGGGGGGGATAGCTAAAGGTATCTGTGATGAATTAAATTGCTACACTTTCAAAAATATGCTGTTACAGACTTCCATATTTCTTAACATGAACTGTTTTGTAATTTATTTAAAATGTATATTTTGCAGTCACATAGCAGCATAGGATATTAACCTTTTTATTATTATTATTTCATTTTTAAGAAGTTATTAAAGTAGAATACTTAAATATTTTAAAGTACATTTATTTTATTATAATGGTATGCTTTTGTCCTTATAAACAATTCTTTTTGTTAAAATGAAATCTGTAATTTAATTTGAAATTTACTTTGTAGGTTTTTTAGCTGTTGATTATGTAGTTGGTCAGAAAGAATGTTTTAGTTACTTACATGATATAAGTTTGGAGAAAGAAAACTATAATGGATTTTTATTAGTCTTAATGGATCTTAGGTAAATTAAAAAAGAAACTTTTTATTATTTGTATAAGTCATTTGACAAAATTTTGATTTGCTATTTATTTTTATAGTTGTTTCAAAACTCCACAAATAGCATATTTTACCAATGCATCGTCACAACCACCTGTTACTATCGGACCAGGTATCTATGATTGTGCATATATATATATAATTTATAAATGATTTCTGTTATTAACTTGATTACTTAAGATTGTTCTGTCTGCTAGCACTGTATTCAGTTAACCAGATTTCTTTTATGAGAAATGAAATTAATATATTGAATGGAGCTTATGTTAGGAAGTTTTGAAAGATTGCCTGAAAACACCTATTAGACTGAGAGAACTCAACTTTGTGAACTTGTGAAGTGTCAAAAATGTATTAATGAGCTTTTTATTCAACACTTATTGACTGCAAGTTCATTAACTGCTTTTGTTTCTATTATTTTTTATTTTATTTTTAGCCATTTAATTCTTTACCAGCTAATATTTCCAATCGGAAACGAGAAAAAAATATCTAAATTAATTATTCTTCGTATTTAAAACTCATTAATTTTTTTTTAATTATTGTCTGTGTGAATAGAAGGAAATATAACATATTATTATTAAGTGTAAATAGATAGTTATTGATGTTTTTATTTCCTTTATTTTTTATTTTGAAACCACATAGTAAAGATCCTTTCCTTATTTCAATATAATGAATATTGAATCTTGTAGGAAGAATAAAGCTAATTTTTCAGAATAAACAAAATACTTTTATTTAAATTTTAAAACAGAACCAAAAAAAAATAAATACTGCAGCTCTAAACTCTCAAAATTTTAAACTCTTAACTACTGCAGTTAAAACTCTTACAACTATTAAAAAAAACTCCCAATCTTAAACTCTCTAAAACAAAATATATATAAAAATCTTTCGAATCCTCTTCTTGTTGCCACACCGTAAAATGCAAGTTCTTGTCCTATTATTTATATTTCACGTTCTCTTTAAGTCACGATCTTCACAAGTCATGATCTTTACAAGTCACGATCTTTACAAGTCTCCCCACAAGAAGCACATTCGTCACCGTAGAGACAATGTTGCTCAGAGTTCATTGAGAGAGAAAGAGTTAACAGCTAACCTTGACAAAGAATCAGCATTCCCATGTAAACTTCCTTTGCGGTATGTCACAGTCATGTTATACCGTTGTAACGCTAAGGCCCAACGAGACAGTTTAGCACCATGAGGGGCGCTTTGGGTCAAGTAGGTGAGGGGATTGTGATCAGACACAATCTGCACTTTGGCACCGAAAATCCATGTGTCAAATTTTTTCAAGGCTTCGATGACACAAAATGCTTCTCGTTCGATGGTTGACCATCGTTGTTGACAGGGCGTTAATTTCTTGCTGAAAAATGCTATGGGCATTTCTTTGCCATGTTCGTCGTTTTGAGCTAAACACGCTCCAATTGCGAAAGCAGATGCATCCGTATAGAGTTGAAAGGGCTTGCTGATGTCCGGAGTATGCAGAGATGGCATTTTAATCAACTCTTCTTTAAGTTTGTTAAAAGCTGCTTCTTTTTCAGAGTCCCATGGAATATTATTTGGAACACTCTTCTTTGTAAGGTTTGTTAGAGGTAAAACAATCTCAGAAAAATTTGGGATATAATCCCTATAGTAGCTTGCTAGCCCTAAAAGACTCCTGACTTCTTTTTTAGTGGTAGGCTTAGACAGATTTCTGATGACTTCTACTTTCTCAGGATCTGGAGAGTGAGTGCCAGAACCTATTACATGTCCTAGAAACTTCACGTGGCTCTTTCCGAAATCACACTTTTTTTCTAGATTTGCGGTTAGACCTGCGTTTCTCAGTGTCTGAAACACTTGGTCGATGTGATAGAGGTGGCCATCCCAAGTTTCAGAAAATATTGCCACATCATCAATATATGAACGGCAGTAGTTCTTATGGTTTGCAAGCACCTTATCCATCGATTTTTGGAAGGTACTTCCAGCATTTTTCAAACCGAAAGGGAGAACTTTCCATTGGTAATGGCCGGAATGAGTGATAAATGCTGTGTAGGGTTTAGCTTCTTCTTTCATAGGAATTTGCCAATATCCCTTGGTTAAATCGAGAACTGTTATGAATTTGGCTTTCCCTATTTCGAATAGTAAATCTTTAGCAATCTTCATCGGATAGGCGTCCGGAATTGTGAAGCTATTTAAAAGCCTGAAGTCTATGCACAGTCTAACGCCGCCATTCTTTTTTGCAACACATACTATAGGATGTGCCCAGTTACTGTCACTGGGTTCTATAAGATCCCATTCTAACAGTTCTTTAACTTGACGATCGACTTCCTCTTGAAGTGAAACAGGAACACGGTAGGGCCTCAATCTTTTCGGATTACATCCTTCTGTAACCTTGATGTCATGACCATCAACATTGGCTTGACCAGGTTTGCTACTGAAAACATCTACATAAGATTTTAGTACTTTAAATAGTCCTTCCCGTTGGTAATATTTTAAGTCACCTTTCAAATTTTGTAAATGGGTCCAGATATCATCAGCAGATTTATTCATAAGATCTGCTGGTGCATAGTGGATATCTCCAAACTCTTCATCTTGGTCAAAAATGATACCAACGTGATCTACACGAGCAATATATGGCCTTAACTTATTTATATGGAGTTCCCTAATACTTCCGTTTTCCATTTCGATTTTGGCAGAGTGTGGCCTGGTAAGTTTGATCACGGTAGCTGGTCCTTGCCACGTGTTGAGCAATTTATGTGATGATGATGGCATTAACATGAGGACTTTGTCCCCAACATTGAAAGTCTTTTCTTGAGAACGTAAATTGTATCTTGAAGTGTACTCTTCTTGAGATATTTTGGAATTTGCTGATGCAATGTCATGAGCTTTTCTTAATTTTTCTAAAAGGTCTTGTAGATAATTTTCAATTGAACGGGAAGCTGTAACTGGAATGCTACGTTCACCTGTCCATATTTCTTTCAGCAAAGATAATGGTCCTGGTGGTATTCTTCCATATACCATCTGGAAGGGAGACAAACCAGTGGTGCTATGTGGCACTTCTCTGTAGGCAAACAGGAGATAGGGAAGATTCAAATCCCAGTTTTCTGCCATGTTCTTGGATATTTTTGTTCATCATCTCTTTTAAGGTTCTATTCCAACGCTCGACAGCACCCATACTCTCGGGGTGTCCTGGAGTGGAGAATCGTGGAGACACACCAAGTAAGTTCTCAAAGGCTCGGGTGAGTTTGGCTGTGAAATTAGTTCCCTGGTCGGAACAAATCATTTTTGGAAATCCAGTTTGAGTAAAAAGCCTCATCAAAACGTTGCATGTTGTTTTCGCACTTATGTCTTTGACGGGGGTGGCTTCTGCCCATCTGGTGCATAGGTCAACTGCACATATCACAAACCGATGACCTCTCCTGGATGGAGGTTCTAATGGCCCGATACAATCCACGCTCCATACTTCAAAGGGTGTTTTCCGGCCTAACAATAGGTTGAATTGGGATTCGATCTTTGTACGTAACTGTTCTCCTCAATTGGCATTCTTTACAACTTTCACAGAATTTTTTAACATCTTGCTTAATAGTAGGCCAAAAGAATGAGTGCTTGATTCGTTGAATTGTCTTTTTCTCACCGAGGTGGCCGGCAAGAGGGATTTCATGTGCCATTCTTAGGACTTCCCTTCTTTTTTCTAAAGGTAATACAACTTGCTTAATGTTTTCACCACAGATATATTCGGAATGAAGTAATATGCCATCATCGAAAGTATATGAATTTTGATTTTTATTTGCCCATTCAAAGCATTTTTTCAGAGTTTCGTCTTGTTCTTGATGTGTCTTGAATTCTAGTCTTACCTTGTTCGTTGTTTTCAGAGACTCTATGTTTTCTTGGGAAATCTGATTAACAACAGCCAAATTTGTAGTAATGTCTTCAACTGGTGAGGGTTTATCATCTGTCTCTTTGTACTCTAAGGGGGATGCATCCCAATGACGATCACAGTTCCACAGTTCGATATTTCCACAGAGTGTTTTCATAAGCTGAAGAACTCAATAGCAAGTCGGTAACTAGCTTTTTTGAAACAGCACACGTAATGGACACTCTACCGTGAAAATCATCGTCAATTTTCATCTGGAAAATCTTTAGTGGAGTAATTTCGTTTTCACCAAAAGCAGAAGATATCTCTATTTTACTTTCTCCTTCGCAAGGTATGTTGTCAACCAATTTCTCACGGACTACTGAAATTTGTGCTCCCGTGTCTACGATTCCATTTAGAATAATATCTCCACATTTAACTTTGACCAGTTTTAATTCATCTATGTTTCTAGATACGTCCACTGATTTTGAGACAGGAATAGAGATCTTGGCAGTTAGCACTTCTGGTTTTTCTTTTTCTGTAAGGGGTGCTTGTGTGTTTGTATTAAGTTGTTTTGTGCTGTTGCAGAAGCACTTCTTGGTATCCGATTTTTGGTACATAACTTAGATGTATGACCTTCTTTTCCACAATTATAGCAAGTTAATTTGAAATTAGGCTTTTGTGGTTCGTCACTCTTACGGGATGGGTACACTCTTGGCGTGTTTTCAGCGTACAGCGATTTATTTCTGAAAGCTCTTTCTGGAAGTGGAGAATGAGGTTGCCATTTTTTATTAGTTCTGTCTGCTGATGGATTACCACCAGTCTGTTTTGAGATATTACGAACACTGTCATATTCGTCAAGTTTATCAGCTAATTTGGTTGGAGAAACGAGAGAACGAATTTCGCCCAGTCGTCAAGAAGATGGTCTCTTACTTCATAGGGTACTCTTTTCTTAATTTGGTCAGTAATAATCAAGTCTTTTAACGCGGCAAAATTTGTGATTTCAAGACCATTGATCCATTCTTCAAAATAACTTGTAATTTCGTAGCAAAAATCTCTCCATGATTTTTCAGCGCTCTTTTGGTGCATCACAAATTTTTTTCTAAAGCTTTCAGGATTTAATTTAAATCTCTTCAATAAAATGGCCTTAATGTACTCATAATCTTCAAAATTTTCTTCAGATTCCCTACCAATTAATTGAATGATTTCAGATGGCATTAAAGTCAATAAACATGAAACCCAATCTTTAGGATCAATCTTTGTCCTTTTAGCTTGTCTTTCAAATAAGGATAAAT